CACCCAGATTCTAGCCGTGACTCCTCCACTGAACAGCCTTGTGACTTTGGGCATATTTCTCAAATGTGGTCTGCTGCTGTTTCACTGCTGCCAACTGGGGGAATGCCTGCCTTACAAAGCAGTTGCAAGATACACCTCGCATGGCTCCTGGTGCCTGCTCTGCCCCTCTCCCCTCCTATTCCAGCTTGCTTTTGGAAGAAGGTACCTTGGAATTCAGGATTTCCTTTGTGGAAAGCATCCTGACTGCAGCTGCTAAAGTAAGTAGACTCTACCAATGAGATAGAGCCTGGCTAATGTCTTGCCAAGTACCTGCCCCCTCTGGGTGGAGGCTGACAGAGACTCAGCACTGTCAAATGAGTAAGCCATGTGCTGGCCTCAACCCAAGCTTGCTTGCACAACCATGGCAGGCCACAGGTGACTGTGGTGCCCAAAGTCTATTAGGAGGGCATTGGTCCCTTAAAAAAACATATTGGAAAATTCCCAACAACTTCTTTCTAAAAATGGTACCAGGAGCCACCCTGGATGTCTGTGTCTGCAGCTGACTCGGCCATTCATGAGGCATCTGTGCTGAGGGTTAAATGCAGGACATTGGTGTTATTAGTATGAAAATATCTCAGTGAATAAATGGAGGGGGAAGGGAAGGTTCTGGATTTTTGCTGAAGTGAAACTGCCTGAGGACCTGGTGGGTTTTATTTTCTGAGCAGAAGGACAGAATTGTGAAGATAGAAGGACTGCAGCTCCTAACAGACTTAGAATGCTGAGAGTTGGTGTCTGCAAGCCCCCTGTTTAGCTGGCCCCCAGAATGGTTCCCTGGGTGTATAGGGAGGATATGGTGAAGCAGTTGCCACAGCCTTGGCCTGGACTTCCTGTGGTGGAAAAGCAAAATCAGTAAAATGATTTGGCTTTGCATTATTTTGGTCTTGAGGGCCCCAAATCTTAGATTGAGGTTGATGTTGGGCTGTGCTACCTGGCACTTCAAAGCTGCCTAATCACCTAAAAGGTATTTCTTTCCTCTCTGTAGGGGAGTCGGCACCCTGCTAAATTGCCATGAGGCAGTGGGGATCAGGGGTACCCCCCCCCGTTAGCTCCTCTAGTCTCTTCTTGTCCAGGATCAATGTGGGAGAACTCAGAATTTATTCACAGCTCTGAAGACATCCCCAGAACTGATGTTCCCCAGCTCTGTGGCCTTGGGCAACTCATATCTCTGGGCCTCAGTTTCCCCATTTGTGGAATAGAAATACTAACAGAACCTCGCTTAAGGAGTTGTAGGAATTAAATACCATAAAGCAAATCAAGTGTGTAGTAGAGTGCCAAAATCTTAGTAAGCTTTTATCACTAATGGTTAAGACAGGGGTGGGACCAGAGGTTCTAGATCACTTGCTAAGTGATGTGTTGATACTGGTGTGTTGGATACTTAGATCTGCGGTGGTTCTGTTGTGATTTTTCAATTTCTCTTCAGTAGGTGAGTGGTTCTTACATTCATCCTTGGCACAGGAACTTGGTTTGGTCTTTCTGTCACATGGTCTGGAAAGAGATGTGTAGCAAGTGCTATAAACTGTTGTAAACTACTTTTGGAACTTCAACTTACTTCAAGAAAATCATTCTGAATCACTTTATAAGTAAATTAGTTTCATATATATATATATAAAAAACCCCTGCAAACAATAAGAGAGTAGCTAATCACAGGGAAATGCTTTTTTTCCCTGTAAAATTCCTTAAGTCTATAAAATATTTTAATAATGAGGACTAGAATGTTCTATAAACTCTTTCTGGGCAGCACAATAAGAATCAGAATAATTTTAGGAATCTACATAAGGCAGCCTTTGGCCAAAACTTAGAAAGAAATGCTTGAGCTCAAAGTGGTCAGAATGATTGCAGTATACATCTGGAAGGCTTTACCCAGAGAAATTCAGCCATCTTTTTTCAAGAAATAAAGACCCTGCCATCTTCTATCACCAGCCCACCTACCTCCCCACCAACGGACAAAACTATGTAAGTCATCTACAGATGGGTCTTCACAGACTGAGTAGAAATGGAGTCTTTGTGTGAAATCTGCTCACTCTACCCCATCTGGGGCTTCAATTCTACCCATTTTCAGAAGTTGAACTGCAGCTCACCACCTGAGAGCGGGCTTGACCACTCTGACTCTATTAATTGCATCACTTTAAATCCTTATATTGCCTTCTCATCTGCACCAGTAGGGGGCAAACTTGTTCCCACAGGTCAGGGAACAGAAATGCTGACCTCTTCCTGATACCTTAAAATAGTAATAGATTTAATTCAATCAGAGCAACAAGGAGCAGTTTCACAAGAAATACTGCCTTCAGCTATTTATATCAATACACAATCACACATTAAGCATTAAGTATTTTTATGAATATTCTGTCATATGCAACTCATTCTTTGAATTAGCCATTTAAGAAAGATTTATGGAGATGAAATATTAAAAAAACAAGAAAAACGTTTCTCCATTGATTTAACTTTTTCTTTGAGTTTAGCAGCAGAATCGTGTTGGCCGGGACCGAGAACTAGGATTCTCTGGAAGGTGGCTTTAGAATCACCAGTCCTGCTCATTCATTTTGTCCTTAATGATACCCTTCCTTGTGATTTTGTTTTCTAGTATAATTTTTAACCCTTAGTTAAGAAAAGCAAAGTTTGTCTTTGTTATTCATGCTACTTAGTAATATTTCTGTCTACCCCTCCCACCAGCTTTGAGTAAGTGATAGCAAGTAAATGAAGACTGCAGAAAAGTCTGAAAGAGCTGGAGTAAAAATCAGTCTCATTTCAGAGTCAGAAACCTTTGCCAAAAAAGATGTTGCTAAACAAGAAATTTCTGAAGGGCAGAAAGGACTATGGACTTAAAGCAAGCAGACCTGCTTCTAGTTTTGGCATTGCCTGTCAGCTTTGCTCTGCAAGGCTGGTAACTAATTTATCTAACTAGTCTGAAGGAGATCAGGCTAGTTGACTTTTAAGATCTAGTTCTAACCTTTAACAATTCTAAGTTCTATATTTCCTAATTTCCTGGCATCAAATCTTCTTCATAGTACATTCTGTTTCCTACCTTCCTGAAAGGCAGTTGGCCATGCCCAAGTCCCTATTCCTCACAGAGCTGTTACCCCTGACCTTGGCAGTGACCTTATAATTACCTGGCCTCTTAGGGTCTCTTTTAGCCAGTCAACTGTGAGGGGGATGGAGTCATCTGGCTGCTTCCTGCCTGTCTCATGGGGGTTGTAAAGGCCAGTCCAATTTTACAAAGGATGAATTCTGCCAAGGAAGAGTCTGCCCAAGTGAAATATTTCAATAGTTCAGTTGTAATTATTGCTATAACATCCAGGAATCGTGAGGGATGAGAAGAAAAGGAGCAGATTTAAGCACACTTTGTATTTATGGTAATGCAGTAGAAAGAGGCCTTAGAAGCCACCTAGGGACCCACTTCATTTACAGATAAAGACATGGAAACCAAGAAAGCTTAATGGTGAACTCAAAGCCATAAGCCTACTGTGTGGGGAGCTGGAGCTGGAGCTGGAGCCTAGTTCAAAACAGAGACTTCAGGACTAGCTCTTGGTTTTCAAAACCTTCAAAGGTTTGACTTCTTGGAGTGAGGCATGTATACAAGATCTACTCTGAGCCAATGAAGAAAAATGACCCCACAATGTCTTTCTGTGTAGACAGTGTAAGAACACTGAGCAGGCAAAAATACCCAACAATCAGATGATCCTCAAAAATCCACTCCTCACACCCAATTCTAATTTCTTCAGAAGACTAGAATCAGTCTGCTTTAAGACAGCCTGGCGGCCCATTGGTTTGAGGGAGCACGGAGAAGTCCCAGGGTCCCCTCACTGATGCACAGCACCCAGAAACGTCTCACCAAGGAGAAAGCCTGAGACCACTCTGGACTTATGGGAGAATGTTATCCACCATCTTTGCTTCTCACCTTTGTCATTATCCCAGTCAATCCAGATATGTCACCTCTTATTCTTCCCATCAGAACATCTATTATAATTTCATTTATTTATTCAGTATCTATGAGTTGAACACTTATTATACAAGGGAGCACAAGAGAGTCAGAGAGGACTTGGGACTTCAAGAGACTTTATCTTTTTAGGGCTTTGGATTCTTTCCTGTAAACAGGTACAAAGTTTTGGGGCATATGTAAATGTGCATTTTTCTGGGGTCCTTAACTTTTATCCAATCTGTTACCCTAAAACAATTAAGAACTTCATGCATGTGCTGACCTGATCAGTGTCCTCAGCCTGCCCATTGAGTCAAGATGTTCCAGGCTGACGGCATGTGCACAAGTGAGGTGTCTCTTCGCAGAGCTCTGGCATTTTCTGCAGAACCTCAGGAAGTGTGCCTGCCCTGCCCTGAAGCCCATGCCCCACATCTGTGGCTTCTGCCTCAAGCATTAACAGTGTGTTCCTCCCATAGGTTCAGTGGGTCCTAAACAAACCACAACCAGAGTATGTCAGCAAACTTCCCCTCAGTCCCAAGAAGGGGCAGATGCTGAACCATTTCCTGGTTCTCAAAGAGAACTTTTAAGGTCCTTCTGACTTTCCTTCCTGCTCCTTGTGTGGTGGGTCAAGTTGGAGAATTTCCTATTTGTTCTTCCGAGAGTCCTGCACTGCTCACTACCTTGGGTGACCTCAGAGTCTCTGAGTAGCTATCTGGGGGTCACACTGGCTATGTGTCGGTCTCACTGTGTCATGTGACACCTGGCTATCATGCTACTACTCCTGTGGAAGCGGTTTTGCAAAAGGATAGTAATATCTCCCGTGAGAACCTTGGGGTTAGCTTAGCAGGCCATTTGATACAGAAACGCAGAATGTAATTATTGCTAGCTGGTGGGATAGGAGCCAATGTCAAGACAAACTGTCAGAGGCTTCAGGAATGCCATGTGCAAGGAGAGCACTGCTGTGTGCCTGTGGGGTACATGAGCATGGGTGCATGTGGAACCCATTTGCCATGGTTGCCTGGCTGAGCTCTGTTCTTCTTCCCCATAGAGAGAAGACATAGTTCAATGTGCAGACCTTCTCCCTCTCCAGCGTCTCCAGCCTCCAATCCCAGGACATCACTAACACAGGTGAAAACGAAAGCCTGTCTCAGTGGCCATAGCTCTGCCAGCAGCACCTCAAAGCCATTCAGAACGCCCAAAGACAATCTACTTACCTCCAGCAGCAAACAGCACACAGTCTTTCCTGCAAAAGGATCAAGGGACAAACCATGGTGAGTGTCCAGGGCTAGCAGCCAGCAGCTGTCTGTCCTCACTGCCTGTCCCTGTCACCATGGGAAACAGTGTTTACTCTGGCCTTGTTCCTAGGCGTCATGTTCAGGAATTTGGGGAACTGAGAAGGGAACCCAGAATGATGATACGAAAAAGCTAAATATGAGAGGGAACTTGGGACTTAAAAGTGCTGGGTGCCTGATGGGGATTTCTCTGCTCTTGAAAGCTGAGCCAAGTTGTGTCTAAGAAAAGGGAAACAAGGAAATGTTCTTCAGTTATATGTTACTCTCAATTTTCCACCCCAATGAAGAGAAGCACCGGTGTAAATAATTGAAAGCACTGGTGGTCTGCCCAGCACAGAGCAAGGCAGTGATGCTGCTTCCAGACTCCCACAGGGCCTGCACTCCCAGCTCCTGTGGGCAAGGATGTAGCAGGTGTCTGGGATGTAGCTGGCTATAGAGGAGGAGAGGAAACCCAAGGAAAAGGTTGCCTCTTCAATGGGGAAGGAGAAAGCTGTTTAACATGTGATTGGGCAAAAACAGAGGCTTTTCATTCATTTTTTTGTTGTTGTTGGGACTGGAATGAACTCAGGGCCTCATGCTTGCCAGGCAAGTGCTCTCTCACTTGAGCCACTTCACCAGCCTGTTTTGTTTTGGGTGTTTTTGAGATAGGGTCTCACAAACTATTTCCCCGGTATGGCTTTGAACAGCGATCCTCCTGATTTCTGCCTCCTGAGTAGCTAGGATTATACGCGTGAGTGACCAGCACAAGGCTCACTCATTTTTTAAATCTCAGTCTTTACCAAAAAGTTGGAAAAGGTTCCCGGCAGAATGGACAGATTGACAACCGAACTGAAAATGTATCTCAAAAGCTGTCCACACCCACCATGCTGCACTTAGGACTGGCTTGTTGCAGCATCTTTCAGGCCTCATGAAGGCAGAGAAGGGACAAGTGTGGAGTCTATCTAATTTATATGTTTAAAGAGAAACAGTGTTCTGTTAATTAGTGATAGTTAATTACACTTAACTTCATACATAAGAAAACTATGGAATAAAATCATCCCGCAATGGGTTAGTCACTGTACTCTGGAAATTGTGATGACTTCATAAAAGAGCTAATTATTCAAGATCAATAAAAGAGCTTGTGAAGAGCGAGTGCGGAAAGGTTGGACATGGCTGTGGAGGAGGGGACCTCCCTCCCATCTAGCTGGGGCTCACAAACTAGCTTTGTTCTCTGTGGATTGTTGGAGCTCAGGTCCATCTTCTAGGAGGATGTAGCTATTTAAAGAACACCTAGCCCGAGAGTGACTGCTGATGACTTCTGGCTAGCTTGTGGGCAACATAAGTCTCCAAGGCTCTGCTCTGCAGTCCCTCTTCTCGGTGACCTGGAAGAGCTGAGAGTTTGTTTGCCAAGGCTGCACGATGTCCTGGTATAAGAACAGGCTCTGGATTCACTGCCTGTATACAGACCTCAGCTGGGTAATCTTGGGCAAGTCATTTGATCTTGTTGTCCCTCAGTATCCTTACCTCTAAAATACTAGCTCTACCACCATGGGATTGTTCCAAGAATCAAGTGAGTTATTTTTCATAAAGCAAGCACAACACCTGAATCATAATACATGTTCAATACATACTTAAGGCTAATGTTATCAATAGCATTATATTATCATGCATGCCAAAAGACAGAGCTCTCTTAACCTGGGAGAAATACTGAAGAGTCCAGTCTGCCTAAGAAATTAGGGAAATGCCTCTTCAGACTCAGAGTGCAGATGAAAATGGAAAATGATAAAAAGTTTATTCGGGGTTGGGGATGTAGCTCCATGGTAGCACACTTGCCTAACATGCGCAAGGCCCTGGGTTCAGTTTACCCAGAGTCTAGAGATGAGCCAGAGAGAAATGAACTAAGGAAGGCCAGGCAAAGTGAGATGAGAGGGATCGTGGATGAGCATATATGAACTTGCTTTGTGAAGGAGCAGCCGAAGACTCATCCCACAGCACCCACAAGCATTCTCCCAGGAGGCAGACTTTTAGAGGCCTTGGGAGTTAGGTCAATCTCCACATCCAATGGAGAGTTGACACACTCAATGTATACCTAATGAGACCAGCCAGGGGTATGGCACCTTCAGCTAGAGGCGGGAAGGAATCTGAAGAAACTAGCAGTGTCCAGAGACAAGCAGAGAAAAGAATCCCAAGGAGAGAAATAGCTCTTAGTAAAGAAAGGCTTCAGAAATCAGAGTGAAGAAGAAGGCTAATGGGCCATTGACCTAATTTCAAGTAAGTAGGTGCTCTGGAGACAGCACGGGAACACACTGGTAATGAGGTCAAGCAGTGGTTTGCAGGGTCTCCTAACTGATCTTACCTCTAGTTTGATCAGCTGTTGTCCACCATGGCCAGGAACATGTGTCAGGAAGAGACCAAGTCCCCGAGGCTAGCAAGATGCAGCTTGGAGTTTGAAGGACTCAGTCTCAGTTCTGAATGGTCCCCAGGGTGCAGTGTGGGCTAGAGACCAGAAAAGCAAGTTCAAGACTGGGCTCTGCCACTAACTTTCTGTGTTTCTTGAACAAGTCACTTAACATCTCTGAGTCTCATTTTCAAGCCTGACTATTTTGTGATTATAAATCATAGTCCTCTCAAAAATTCTCAAAGTTCTTCATTGACTGCTAAATTAAGAGTGAGCCCCTCAGCCAAAAATAAGAGGCCCTCTGCAAATCAGCTGTAAATCCCCTAGTTCAATCCTGATCACCCAGTACCACCCCATTACACCAGCTCTCCCCCAGCTCTTCCCCAGTACCTTTGACCAGAACATCCGTCTAGCTCCCTTAACATTAAATGAGCACCTGCTATAATACTGGGTGCCTACTCTATGACAAGCACTAGGGTGGGCAGTCCCCACTAATGTCACATACATAGCTTCGTGTGGATAAGAAAAATGTCTGTGTGCAGCCCCATACCAGGCACACAATTGAATAGTGGTCTCATCCCCCCGTCACTTCTCCAGCCATGCAGCCCATCACCCACATGACTAAATGCTGCAGCCTTGGGGCTACAGAGTTAAAGAAGACCCAAATACTGTTCAGGGAGTCTGTAAGAAGAGACAAAGTGGACACAAAGTATAATGTGATAAGGGCTTTGATAGTGGTAGCACGGGAGAAGGGTGGGTACTCAGAAAAGGTTCATCAGAAGAGGTCACACTTCAGCTGAATTTGAAGTCCAAGTACAGATGCTCCTTGACTTACCACGGGTTGTGTAATTTTTGATTTACAGTAGTAAGTTGAAAGTATTGTTGAGATGCATTTAATATGCCTACCCTATGAACACCATAGCTCGGGCTAGCCTGCCTTAAATGTGCTCCATCCACTAACATCAGCCTACTGTTGGGCAAAATCATCTACCACATGGCCTGTCTTATAGGTGGTAACCATGCGATCATGGGGCTAACTGATCGCTGCAGCTCTCTGCCACTGCCCAGCATCACAATAGAGTAGCATAGCACAGATAGCTAGCTTGGGGACAGATCAAAATGCAAAGTACAGTTTTGGGGCTGGGAATGTAGCTCAGTGGTTCAATGCTTGCCTAGCATGCACAGGCCCTGAGTTCTACCTTCAGCAACCTAAAGAAAGTGCAGTTTCTACAGAATGCACATCACTTTCACACCATCATAAAGTCAAAAATCATAAATGGAACTCATAAGTCAAAGATGTCTGCTGTAAAAAGGAACTAAGCAAAGAAAATGGAATCTTAATGGTAAATTTTATGTGATGTCTATTTTGCCACAATAAAACATTTTTTTAAGAAAGTAGGAAGGATATTCCAGGCAAAGAGAAGAATGTGCAAGAAAATTTGCACATGAGGAGAGGCAGGTCATGAAACCAAACACATAGGCAAGAGCCAGATTATACAGTTCTGTGGTAAATTCAGGACTGCATGGAGCTGTTAAAGGAGCAGTTGTCAGTTGTAATGAGAGTACCCTGACAGCAGTGTAAAGGGGCAGGCCCCTCCTGAAGCATCAAGAACAGTGAGGACATTGATACATAATCCAGGTGAGGTGTGATGACCATCTGGACCCAGGCACAGGTGATAGGCATGTACAGAGGAGCCAGGTGGCAGCAATGTCACAGAGGAGAACTTCACAGGACTTTGGAGCTGGCCATGTGTAGGGCTGGAATACAAGGGAAGCATTTAAGATGATGTCTATGGCTTAGATAACTGGGTGATTGGTCCTCCATTCCTTAACAAAAGGAGAGGACGAGTTCCACTGGGGTTTGAACTGGGTTTTGAAGTATCTGAGAAATATCTACAAAGATGTATCCAGTGAGCATAATTTGGACCTAGAGGTCTGCAGAGAGGTACAGGTAGAATAAAGATTTGAGAGTCTTCTGTGTAAGCAGGGCATTGAGGTCATGGATACCAGGACCTCCCAGGAAAGTATGTGGCATGAGAAGAACAGTGGCCAAGGGAAAAGCCATAGAGAACAGGACAGGGGAAAGGGAGCCATGGAAACAGGGACTGCTAAGCCTGGAGTTCTTTCATAGCACCCTGCCCTCTTCTTTCCCGGCCAAAGTCCCCATTCTTCCTGCCCATTTCACTGGCCACCTTCTGCTCAAGCCCATTTCTCAATCACTTCCTCCTGGTCAATAACCAAATATGCTGTTGTCCTCCCTCTCATTCCCCAGGGTGCATAATCATTGCCTCACTTGTGACGCTTTCTACCTGTGACACTTCCCATGTTCCTCCTGTTCAGCAGTTATTCAGGGTCTCCTGAGCAGTGGCTTCGCAGCGGCTCTGCAAACATGGCACCCCTGTCAATAACACTTGTTGAACTGAACAAAGCATATCTGACCATTGAAGGGATTGTAGGGCTCCTGGAGATGAAATCTTTTGTCTAGAAATGTTTAGACTAGTGCTGTCCACTGGAAATGCAACGTATGCCACATGTGCAAATTTAAGTTTTCTAGCAGCCACATTGAAAAAAGTGAGAAGAAACAGATGAAATTAAATTTTAA